CAAAGAATTGTGCATTATATATTGTATGTATGTCACTACTCACTAGTGAGACGACCCGCTGGAATAACCCCAATTCCTCAACCAAAAAAAAACCCTCTCACAGGCAAGTGAAATTCATGAAAACGAAAGCATAAAACATAGCAAACCCAAGCAAAACTAATCAAAAGCACCTTACCAAAGCCAAACACTCTCAAGCCATTCAAAAGTCTTGTCTATACACAGATTGCATCTTCTCGAGTACGCCTCGACTCGAGCCAAGTCAAGACCTCAACTTTCGTCGTCTCAAACCAGCCGACCTTATCAGTCGCCTCACGAAACGGCGCATTCAGTTCCTTCAAATGGGCCTCAAACAAGCCCGCTAACCGCTTCTTTGGATACTTGTGCTTCCCATGGCCCGTATTAATCCCGAGCAAATTCGGTAACTCCTCACCACTCTCAACCGCGCTCGACAAGCCATTCACCCATATACGCAGTGCCGTCAAGGCCGCCCCTGAAGACAAACTCTTCAGATTCAAAGACCAAATCGAGGGTGTTTTAGACATTACACCTTCGTATATTCCTTTCTCGAGCCCGAATTCAAATAGCCCACGAGCCCACTCCTGTCGAGCCACGTTCACACAGAGGTCGATCAAGGTATTGAGGTACGGTTTTCTAACGTCGACGCAAACCGAGCCGAAAAGCTCGTTCGCTTCTCCTTTTAACCTTTCTTTATCCAAATTTTCTTCATGAACTAAAAGATTCACAAAATAACCGAGCTTTGGATTGGCCTTCTCGATGCAAACGGTCAACTCGGATATCTCTTCCTTCCGCACTTGAGTTAAAACGTTAAGAAGGCTTCCAATAAATCTCTCGTCTGGGTTTATTCCGAAATCCGACAAACGATCGAATGTCCTCACGACATCACACGTACGCCCGGCTTTCCCATAGCATTGGATAATCGAGGTTAGTACAATGATGTTGGGCTCCAAACCCGAGCCCAACATCTCGTTCAGAGTGGCCTCAGCTTTCTCAACTAGACCACTGCATGAATATATAGTGATCAAGGACGAATACGTCCATTTGTCGGGTTTGCTAGTGCCTGAATTTTTCATATCCTCGAAAATCGCAAAAGCCTCGTCGGTAAACCCAATATCAGCACACATGGAGAGAAGGTAGTTGTACAGAGCTACATTTAGCCCAAAACCCTTCTCCTTCATTTCCTTATAAATAGCGATTGCATCACGACCATATCTAAGCCGGGAGTAAGATCGAATTAGAGCAGAGTATGTGCCCCAAGTTGGCTCGATTTCATTTTCCATCATCTCTTGGTAGATACTCTTCGCCTTCCATGGCTTCTTGGCCGAAATCATTGCATCCATCAAGGAGTTGTAAACGCTGGCAATTGGCCTGACCTTTAAGGCCTTCATTTCGTCGTATAAATTCAAACACTTACCAAAATCTCCCCTCAACCCGTAAATCTTAATCAAAGTCGAGTAAGCCAGAGCATCTAGACGCCATTTTTCACTCCTGGCATGTTCGTACAGAGATAAAGCAGCATCGACTTCCCCCACTTCTCCGTACGCGTTCACCATGATCGAGCAAGTGGCATCATCTTGCTCGAGCCCGAAAGTTTGCATCTTTTCGCACCATTCGGCCACCTTATCGCGCGAGTAACACCGCCTGGCGCAGCTAATCAACGTCGAGAAGGTGACAATATTGGGCTTAATCCCCGTCTCCAGCATTTCATCGAACAGCTTCTGGGCACCCTCTAAATCCTTATACTTTCGAGACACTTTCATGGTCGCGTTGTACAGAACAATCTCTCTACACGATCTCAGCTTCTTCCTGAAGTAGTGAAGCACCAGCCGCGCGGTTTTAGGGTTCGACAAGTTTTTCAACACCGCCACGGCGTCCTGATCGGTTATTTCGTAGTCGGCAAGGACACTCAACGTGCCCGAGACGTTCTCCACGGTCGGGCTGCACGAATTTAAAGATTCCCCCAGTTTGACCAAGGAAATGTGGCGGGCAAATTCGGTTCTCTGAATCAGCTTCGCGGCCAGAGGGTTTTTCGGGTTGACCCAGACGTGGCGCTTCGACGGAGACAGCGCCGTTTGATCCGGGCTCGCGGATTCTTGGGTTCGGTCCTTGATTTCGGGCTCCTGTGAAGATAGCTTACAGAAGATGCGGAGGGAGGGATTTGTTTGGTGGGATTTGAGGCGAAAGTTGAGGTTTTCATGGGTTCCGAGCTGGGAGAGATTCAGAGGGAATAACGAGTTGCAGCAGAGTAGATGAGCTTCGCGGGCTGGGGAAGAAGATGAAGGCGAGGCACTGAAGTACGCCATTGTTACGCTCTTCCCTTTTGGGAGTGACTGGTTTTAGAGGGGTTTTGCAGTTGAGCTCTAGGGCTCGAAGAGAGGCCTTATCAGAAACGTCGAATCACGGTTTCACTATTTCTTCCTATTTTTACATAAAATCTTATCCTCCCATTTTTTATTGCATTTGTCATGCATTTCCAGTTAGTGTTGTCACGCATTAATTGTTTTTACTAATCTATACTTATATTAAAAGATATATACCATTTACCAGATTTAATATAAAGAAAAGTCAACAACATTTATTACATTACTATTTCCGTATTATACAATCTATACTATACTTATATAAAAGGAGATTCTATTTACTACATTTACTATCCAGAAAAGTCAACTGCATTAAATGTCATTACTATTTTGATATTATAATATTTTATTTATTTAATTGATTTGTTTATTTGTTTTATTTTAAAAATGTAAGTATAATAAAAATATTTTAATAATAAAAAAATCAAAATACCAAATAAAAATGTACACTTTGACTTATTTGATTATATTTGGTATTTGATTATACCAAATATATTCCTATTTAGTATATACATTAAATACTTACTAAAGTATTTATTTGTTTTATTTGTCAAAGTTAAGTATAAATTTGTTTATATTATCAAATCATAAAACAAATAAATATATCTTATGTTTCGCACGGGTATTTGAACATTGTACAATTTCTTGCGTATTATAAACTTTTATTGAATATTGCATCTTATAATATAATATTCTCCAAATAAATATATCTCGTGCTTCGCACGGTCACGTACTATATATATCCCGTACATTTTTATTTATTCATGTATATAATTATAAGCCTGAATAAATAGCCTTAAAATTGTGCACCCCGTGCATCGCACGGGCTCTGTACTAGTATTCTTTGAATTGGTGCCCACATGTGCCCCTCATTCAATTCATGTGTCCATTTACTTGAATATATATTTTTTTGGTGTCTTTTTTCAAATATAAGTTTGCACTATGAAAAGTATTATATTTCTTCGAAGTTGCAATGGATAGCCATACAAATCCAACCCAAATATGTCGAATTCATCAGAGGATGACAGTCCTTCTTCTGTAAATTCACTTTTTACACGAAACATACAATTTACTCAATTTCCTAGAAAACGACTACAATCCAAATTTTAAAATTTTCTTTTTCAAGTTCTCGCACCAGTGTCTTCTTATTCAATTCCACAGACTTCAGAGCAACCTTTCTTTTACCCAATCTCCACATTTAATAAACATGAATCAATCTCAGTATATGTGTACAATGTCGCCCCAATATGACATTCCAAATGCATTTGGGATGCCTTATCAACAGGGAAATTTCATGTCGACAGGTTTCTCTAGTAGCTTCCCAAGACCTTTCATGATCCTAGAAGTTGAAGGACTTGACAACATTTGTCTTGATTCGGATTTAGAGAAAAGGAAAAGAAGTTGAGCCTAAAAGGCACGGTAAACGACAACATTATCGTGAACACATGGGGAGGATGTTTTACTATTTCAAGGTTTTTGTGACATCTCAAGTGATTCGGTCATTAGCGCTCAACAAACGTTTGAAAGTTTTTGGAAGTGAATTATACAAGACTATAATGAAGTTAGCCTAGCACAAAACTTTATTAAGAGAACTATGGAGTCAGAAAATCTTATTTTTATGTTTTACATATAGATTGTCTCAATTTTAATGCTTCAGTAAACAAGTTTTAGGTTACTCAAAAAAGTGGTGAAACTGATGCAATTGTTTTGCATAATGCATTAATAGAGTGGAATAGTGATGGAAAAAAAAAAAAAAAAAGCTTTAAATTGCTTCATTGTTAGGAGGTTTTGAAAAATAATGACAAATTTGATGGGGCATCTCAGACATCTCGAGGAGGAAATAAAGTTAGAATATCTGATACTGGAGATCACACTTCTGCTCTGAGCAAGATGTTGAGCTTACTGGTGATGGTGAGGACATATATGTGTGTCGACCAATTGACCAAAAAAGCAACAAAGGCATGGAAGAGAAATGAAAAACAACTGTAAGAGGGAGCACCAGGCCATATGTTGAATGTTTGTTTGCCTATATTTGCTAGGTTAAAGAAATGCATTTAAAGAAACAAAATGATTTCAAAAAGCTAACTCGTATAGAGTTATGGAAGACGTACAAATAAATGATAAAGGAGGATACTTCAACCATGACGAAAGAATATTTGCAAGCCCACTAGAGGCTTCTTGTCGTACTTAATGAAGAATTGAGTTTAGAGTTATTCGATGAATGTTTGATAACGTTCGTGCTACTTTGAAAAAGGCTCGTTTTCACTTATTTTTTTCGACAACACATCTAATTCGTTCTTATACTATACAATTAAATTCAAATATTTTCGAGTACTAAAATAATTTCAGTTTATTTTAACGTAAGTAACATACATAGTGTCAGGCAAGAAAATACTTAAATTGTTAATTCACCAACTACATTAATTCATTACACACTATACACTTGCCTCCTACCACAACACTACGACACAATTTCTACCACAATAATACCTAACACACACTTGTCAACTACTACGATAATACCTAACACAAGCTAACATATCACAATCACTTCTCATTATAAACAATATAATATAATCAATTCCACAACCACATAAGAACAACCTCTTTCAATTCTGAGCTCCCACATAATTTCCGTTTCTACACTTCCACTTTCACACTTTATTCGAGATAAATTAAGGAAAATGTATATATTAGTGTTGTCTAAATTTTATGTGCCACAATTAGTACCGTGAATATGACTTTTTGATGGTAAAAAAATTGACAAAACAACAACTGAAATTTTTTTAGTATAATAGAATAGTAAGTACTATATTTGATTGAAAATAATTGTTGTTCTAGAGCCAAAAAAAATATTAAATTTTCATCTAAAATTTCTTATATTATTCTTTAAGGTAATAACTTGTCAGAATTTGTAAATTAATCAAGACTTAATTATTTAATTCTATTTTTCGTATTCTTTTTTCGTCACTTAAATTATAATGTGGCGAATCTTTCATTTCATATTAGGGCCAAATCATCAATTTTTCGCCAACCTGGAAGCCTCATAAAATAAGGGCATTACTATTCACCGCCCCCCAAATTACTAGTCACCGCCCCCCTTGGACAATTTTGCCCCTCTCATTTTTCGTAAACATCTCAGAGAAGTGTACGGTGAAATGTCGTCAAATTCCGAGGTACGAAAAAATTCGTGTCCGGACGTCGGTTCCGGACAGTTTAAAGCCCGTCCGGAACCGGCGGCCGGACGGCTTAAAGCCCGTCCGGAACCGGTGGCCGGACGGAGCAAATACCGTCCGGAAAGCACGGCCGGACGGACCGTGCCTGACCGGAACCGGCGGCCGGTCGGAACCGGTCCGTCCGGTCCGGCCGGCCGGACGGAATATTTTTTTTTTTTTTTTTAAATTATTATCATTATTATTATTAATTATTATTTTTATATAATTTATAATTTATAATAATTATCATTATTATTATTATTTATTATTCTAATTTTTAATATTTATAATTATTATTATTATTTGTTATTATAATTTNT